CAATTCCTGTCCTTCCGTTTTCATTATAATTGAGGCTTTTTGTCAAAATGGGAAAAATAAATAAAACTATAGAAAGTAATATATATTCAAACACAAGTATAAATAAATGAATGTAATGTAATAAAAGTATAATTTCATTCCGCATCTGCACTAAATTGGCTCAAATCTCGGGAGTATTTCTCTCGCAAACTATTTCCAACTGTATGTGCGCTCCACTGACCTCTCGGTTGTAATTGAAAATATTAACTAAAAATACAGTATTCAACGAGTGATCACTTTTTAAATTACAATTTTTTGTCATTTACTCTTTTTTTATGTTGCATTCAAATCATTGATTACAAAATTATTACGTTAAACACAAGGGCTTATGTTTAGTGACATAAAAATTTCTATTTGAAATTCATGAAAACGAGTGACTATATTGAGCTTATAATAGACTTCAGTATTCCTAATGTATTTTATATTACAATAATGTAATTCACAGTACATTTAGTTTTTATGGTCTGATAAAGGAGATGATATTTTTACAATTGTATCCAAACGTATCGTATATTAGGATAATTTGTGTGCAAAAAAAGAGCACAAAAAATTTGGTCAAAATAATAAAATAGCATTGAATTGATTGTGTGTTTTCAGCCGAATGTTAGAGCGATTGAATAACATGAAGAGGAACGCCAGGGGAGACGGAAAGTCATCGTGTGTTTTATGCAACGATCCGTTCGGACTGTTTGGAGCGCAGGGACGACAGTGTAAAGACTGCCTCAAAGTTTGTCAAACATATTCATTGCCTTTAATTTTTAGATTAATTGTTTTAAAAATTAAATTCTCCAAAAAAATAATTCTGTGTTTATATCTAATGCTAACGGCATTGTACTATACATTGTACTATAATATCCTTTCGCTTCTATGTATTTCATTAATTACTTTTGATGTTTCAAACATTTAATTATATTAAAGTGTTATCAAGTGATGGATTGAAAACAATTTTAAAACTTTTAATAATTAAAATACAGTAAATTTATTTGAAAAATTTTCTACACATAACGACATATTATAGTCTGAATTGGACAGCATTTTGTGGTAAATAACAAACTAAATCTGTCTCTCATTTATCAAAAAAGTGAGGCATTAATCTTAAAGTCTAAAGACTTGAAGTCAACACATTTAATACCGAAAACAAAAACCAAAACAGAATTCGCGATAATATATAAATTTACTGCAAATTTTAGATTTCAACCAAAAAAACAACCATTGAATTAAAGTTAAGACTCGTTTAAACTCTTAAGTGAATCGCAGCGATAATAAATAATTGAAAATAAATAAGTTATTAGAAAAAATTGCTAAAAATAAATGCAAACATAGGATTATTTCGGAGATTATTGCCTAAAATCTGTATAATTTATTTGACTATCTTTTTTCTCTGTGTGGCAGTCGGTGTGTAATAAGTGTGGAGTCGACACATTCACTACAGACAACGACCCGCTCTGGCTCTGCAAACTGTGCTCTGAGTCGCGAGAAGTAAATTGAATACAAATCTTAATTGAATGCAAAATTTTTTTGAAAAGATAAGATTTTTTCTATAATGAAATGAACTGTTAATTGGGTTCTAGTTATGGAAGAAGTCGGGCGCCTGGTTCTCAAACACACTGCCAACACTGCCGACGACCAGCCCATGCGCTCCCAGTATAGCATCGATCAATTCGCCCGCAAACGAGTCGCTAAACAGCGCCGAAAACCATTTCATCTCCAATTCGTCGAGCTTTCACTCGCCGTCACCCGTACTCAGACATAAGGCCCGAACGCCGAGTCCAATGGGCAACAGAAACCGATCGCCTAATATCGCCGGTAATTATCATTTTATAAAATTTATTTTATTTGCTTTTATTTGTGTAATTATTTTAATTAATTACTAATAAATGATGTATTAATGGTTTGGTTTGCGATAATGTCATTAATAAGTGTTGATTTATTAATCGTTCAATAATTTATATAATATTTTATTAATAATGGATTTTTGAGCCCATGTTTTTCGTAATCAGACCTATTATTAATGAATTATTGACTAAATATTATGGTATAAAATGCCATCAGAACAGTGCAGATGCACTACACGTCCATAACTCATAAAATGTGTTAATATATGTTAAGATTTTATAGGATTATATAATATAATACAATGAGTTAATACATGCGTTTAATGGCATAAAAATCTGGATTCCTTGACACATATTACAAATCTAACACACAATGTATTGATTTATATTCTTCAGTATTAGTAGTAATTATATCGCTGTTCGCTAAAAAATACTGCTCTTTTCGAGTCCTATAACTTGAATATTAAAATATTTTTTGAAATTTATTAAAAATGCATTATTTGTTATTTTAAGGAAATATTTTTGACGCTTTATTATTCTAAACCCTTTTTCTTTGTTATGGTGTTATCTATTGAAATATTCCTCTGGAAACAAATCTCTGGATGGTTTTTAACTTATATTAAATTTAATATCTAGATATCACCATATATTACATACAATTTTAATGAGCGTTAAGTTACGAGAGATTAATAATTAAATAGAATAGGGATTAGAATAGAGTATTAAAATTCTTGAAAGTTGATCATTATATACCAGTTTCTATCATTAAAATGATTTTTTATTTATCATTATTACAAGTGATTAACATTTAAGATAATCCTATAAGTCTCATAAGGGGTGATTCACAAAGTACGTTCGCACTAAAGTTGATCATTATATACCAGTTTCTATCATTAAAATGATTTTTTATTTATCATTATTACAAGTGATTAACATTTAAGATAATCCTATAAGTCTCATAAGGGGTGATTCACAAAGTACGTTCGCACGTTTTAAGAAATGTAGACCCCCTCCCCCTTATGTTCGCATGTCCAATCCAAATTATTTTAATGCGAACGTTCATAAGGTCTTATACCCCTCCATCTCGTTCGCAAAAGTTCGCTTTGGTCGACACCCCCTCCCCCGAGTTTGAGCGTATTTTGTGAATCACCCCTAATTAGGATTAAAACTGACAAATAGAGAGTAAATAATTTAAAATTTGGTGTTTTAGACAATTATTTTTAAATATTTTATTGATTTAATTTTTGTTTTATTACGAAATATGTGGTCAAATATAATTTATTAAATATTAGAGAAACCAATTTTTATCAGTAAATTATTAAACGGAAAAGATTTTGGTTTTTTGTTTGGCGTTTACTTTTACGTCAGACACACTTCCGATTAATTTTAGGGTACTTTTTGCGACTTCGAGTGAATTCACAGAATAAACAATTATTTATTGTTATTATTTCTTATCAAATGAGACGATATATTAATACTGAATGTTTCGGAATCTAAATCTAAATCAAAGTCATATTTTTGTAAAAATTGCATAAATTTATGTAATTTTTTTGTTGTTAAAACATTAGAATATAAAATATTAAAAATTGTCATAACTTTAACATTTGATGTTATAAAATGAATATTTAATACAAATATCACATCCCTGTAGACTATGGCGTACTGTTTGATGAAAAACAAAACGACTTTTACGAACAGTTGAGTGAAGAAGAATATGCAAACCTTAGAGCAAAACAAGAATCGGATCTATACTATGATTATAGAGAATCCAATTGAAAGACGACTCCAATTCTGTATATGACTTCCAATTACGAAACAAATGTCTCAATACTTATACATATTTACATTAAAAAGAGTGAAACATATTCATTCACATCAAACTATTTTCAACTATAAAATATATACATATAATTTATGATTAAATAATTTATTAAATGTTTATTTTATTAACTGTTAAAACAAATTGTAACAAAATTAACATATTTTCGCAACAAATTGCACACAAAAGTTAACGAAACAATTAATAAGAAATTATTGAAAAACATTTAATAATAAGGTATTGGTAGACAAATCACAGCCAAATATGTCAGACGTTTTGATATTAATATACTGTATATTCGTTGTAATAGTATGTGCTGTCGATTCAATACACAATTCTTGTGGACAGTCATGTCATTCACAATATTGTGCTAAACAGTTATTAACGTTTTGTCCACTTTTTATAATTAATAATAATAATACAAATCATTAAAATATTGTTAACAATGTATTAATATTTGACTAAAATATTGCAATTTATTGATTGAAGAAATTCACATAACATTGATTTATTATAATATATATAGTAAATAGAGATTATAATGTATTTCCATTTGCCATTAATTCATAAAATGCACACAATTTTAAAAATTAAATGCGTTAATCATTTTAAAATTGATTGATATTTAAGTTTGAGATTAACATAAGACCTAATCGTTTAAAATAAAGAGAGACAATAGACTCATATCTAATGGACTAATAGGTGTACAACATGTATAGCATGTCTAATAAGCGTGATTCTTGACAAACAGATCTTCGGCAGCCGCCGCGCCAACCAANTCGGACTCAGATATACCGGTCGACGACATCGACAATATGCTCGAAGAGGGACTCGACTCATACCAGCGCTCTGTCGCCAACAGCGGATCCACTGAAGGCGTGTCGCGGAAGAGGAGATTGAATGAAATGAAACTCAAGATAAACGCTCCGCACGAAGAGAGGAAGAAGATTGTCTTAAAGAGTAATATTTACACACATTTGTGAAGCCATTTATATTTGTCTTATTTAACACGTGTAGAAAGAGATCAGGACTACTTTGAAGTACTTCCCGAAGGCTGGTTAGAGGTGACACACTTCAGGTGAGTCTTGGATTTGGAGTGCAGTTGAATTGATTGATTGCTTAACCCATTGATTGTTACCATAATTAGCGGAATGCCTATATATCTCCACAAACAGACCAGAGTTTGCACCACAACGAAGCCATACTATTTAGGTCCCGGATCTGCCAGAGTATGCTATCGTTTGTATTGTTATTATTGTGTGATTTACTTGTATTTTACTAATTATTTGAACGAATTAAAGAAACACGAGATACCCATCTCTGCCATCCCTTGCCTTCAATATAAGAAAGAACTCGAAAAAGACCGGATGGAAGAGGAGAAGAGCAAAGAAGTGACCGCTGATGGCAATTCTGGCGAATGTATTTACAATTGAACACATTATTGGGTCACTTATTGGATATAATAATTATATGAATAACATTTTAGGCAACGCTTTACTCGCGAAAGTGGAAACTGTGAGCGAAAACAAAAAGGAGAAGTCATTGGATTACATGTCTGTCAGAAATTATTGTCAGAATTTATTTGAATTCCAAACCATAACTATTCGCAAATTCAAGTGAGTCTTCAGATCTATAGAAATTAATTTGTTATTGAAATCTAATTAATGATATCTCTGACGGCTGCAGAACGTGGGCCGACCGTAGAAAACATACACAACTCCGAAAAATACAACAAAGACCTTCACTTCCCGACGGAACTAAACTTATCACTTGTCCGCTGCCGAAGGCGGCCAATACCGGAGAGTCTACCGCTGGAAGGAGTTATCGGAAAGGTTTGCATCAAATTGTTTTCATTTTACAATGAAATGAATGTTTATGAATATTGTGTTTGAATAGAGTTTGTGATGAATCCGGCCGGAAAGTCCTTTGTCTGTATTCTTCATGAGTTTGTTCAGCACGCAGAAAGAGTTCAGCCGAAGTATACATTCCAAGAATTGGGTATTTATTAGCAATTACTAACAATTTGATGGCAAACAATAGCTGACAATGAATATAATATATGTGTTGACAGAAAACGCGAGTCAGCCGTACAGCGCAACTGTTATTATCAATGGTATGGAATACGGGAAGGGATTTGGAAGCAGTAAAAAACAGGCCAAATCTGAAGCAGGTATTGAAGCCTTCTTAAACATTAGTAGTATCACTGTATTACTAATCATATATCTTTTTAATCCAAAGCGAGAGCGAGTCTTGAGATACTTATTCCTGATCTTAAAGAGATTACTGACGGCGGGAATCGCAAACTCGATCCTTCGCTTCACGACTTTAGCGTTCGTTTCCATTATTAATACCGTTAATCGCTGTATATTTGCTTAGTATTGATGAATGCATTTATCTTATAGTTCTTCAATGACATCCTTATCGAAGACCCGCGAGTCAGTGATTTATGCGCCAAAGCGGGCCAACACTCTCCCTATCAGATACTAGTCGAGTGCCTTCGCAGGTATTATATTGTTTGACATTGTCTTATAGATAATGACTTGATATGGTTTGTATGATATGTTGTGTTGTGTGTTAGGAATTGGGGAATGGGTGACACAGACATCGAAACTGACGTCCGTTTAGTCAAACACCAGAAGAATGAGTTTGTGATGAAAGTGGGGAAACACAGGGCTTCTGTCACCTGTAGGAACAAACGGGAGGGCAAACAGAGGGCCGCGCAGGCGATCCTCAAGTTATTGCACCCACAGATCAGTTCGTGGGGTTCTCTCCTAAGACTCTACGGTCGGGGCTCTTGTAAAACACCAAAAGAGAAAAAGGTATTTCTGACTTATTATCGAGCGATTGATTGATTAGTTGAACATTGATTTGAATGCATAGGAAGAGGAACAGAAGATAACAGAGTTGCAGAACACCGCCTGCGCTAATCGACCCAATTATGCCATTCTCAACAAATTAAAGGAAGAAATGCTCAAATTGAGAGAAACTAATGTAAGGCCTAATTACCAGTAAATGAATATTAAATATAACATTTTGATTATGAATTACAGAATGAAAATTCGAGTTTAAATAAAGTAATGATTGAAAGCGAATCCAATCCATCACCAAATTTGAAATGCGTTGACCTCTAAGAGTGTGATTGAAGACTACAATCAGTCTCACTCTTGCGTTCAATTATTTAAATATCACTTTTATTTTATATAAATATTTTCTCGTCTAACATATTATGTCTAAATTCTTATTTACTTCTGATAAATATATTTATATTTTAAACTTTTATAAAAAATATGAATTAATATAAATTAAGTGATTTTAAAAGTATGCGAATTCGTTATCCATTCAATGTCTTTGGACGCATCGATGGGCTCTTTCATTGTTTTCTCGATATAATCCACATTTAAATTATTATCGACCAGTATTATAGTCCACGTTCTGCTGCCGTAATTGTTCTCAGGTATCACTACATGAATAGCATTCAGTTTTTCTAATGATTTGGATTTATCTCTTCCTTGACTTCTCATCTGATCGTCCAAAGGATAACTAGGAATCAAATTCACATTTGTTTATATTTAAAATAAATTGTGTTTAAATTATGAATACAGACATCGATTTGTCTGATAGGAAGTCAAAAATGTCATCAATTAGTTGTGATTTAGAAGTTGTATTCTTGTGTTTATCGACTATTTCTTCGAATTTCTGTTTTCCAATTCGGACTTTTGGCCAAAGTTTTTGATCCATTTTATTGTTACCGAAAGCGTGTACTCCTAAACACACACATCATTTCACATCAAAAATATGATCATTTGATTTGTGATAAAACCTGGATTTAATTGCATTGTTTTAAGATCAAAGTTAGAATACGTGGACATCTCTATTGATTGTGACTTTAAATGAATGGCAATCATTCGGAAACCGTTATAATCTGAAGAATCTTTGCTGATTTGATCCAAATATGTTTTCGGCGAATCATTGCCTTCCAAATAGTCGACCACAAGAAACCCTTAGACAAATATTCTGTGAGTTAGGAATATTACAGAATATTTAATTGTAGATCAAAACCTCGACCCTTCTTATCGGCACTGATCTCATCCTTTGGCTGAAGAATGTTTAACAAAGAAGCGATTTTGCCGTTTGTATTCATCGCGAGCCACGCCCCGCCTTCCCTGCCCTTATCCATGTCTTGACCTAATTATTCAATTAATGCATTCTTATAATTAATGAATTAACTCATTTACAAATGTAACAAATAATTAACTGTGTATTTACTATGTATTTATTGTTTGACATCTCTAAAGAATATATTTTTATTCTGATGTAATATCAGATTACGTTACTGTATGACTAAATTACTATATATCTAAATGTGTTAGCAATTAAAGTTACCAATTATAATTGAATCTTAAAATATTGAATATTACGTTAATAACAGTAAAATTAATCCACAAAAAATACATAGTTTTTTAAAGCAAAAAAAATATTGATAATTTGAATGACAAAATGTCAATTGGAGTGTCATTTGGAAAATCACTAGAAATTAATCACAAATAGTTTATCAAATGTTATGTAAACATGTTTTGACTGCAACTGACAAATGCAAACAATAGTGTTGTTTAGAAAAGTTGTCTTATTTCTTACCACCGATTATACGAGTGTTGCGATTGTCCCAAAAGGAGACCGGTTTCGTGGGTCGGGCGTAGTATTCATCGCGAATATTGACCAAAACTAACTTATATTCACCACAATTTGCATTTTCTACTGTTTTTATGAATAAAATACACATAATTTTAAAGTAATTTTAAAGTGATTTTAACGCTTATTTTCTCTTTGGTTGACACGAATCTGTATTACAATAATTATTATTCTTTACAGTAAACATGTTATCAATGAATGTTACTAAGGCTTTGCGCAGAGCTTATCGTCATATAGTGTCCAATCATTTGCCATCAAATCCATTGCCTCCTCTCATAAAGAACTTTTGGCGTCTCTTTTGCAAAGTTTTTCAATGAGACTCTTGTATCAAATTAATAGAAAATATTTAAAACAAGTCTTTAGCAAAATTATATATAACCCTATCTTTCAAAATGCATTAATTGTGTTCATAACTGGTTTAACACATGTATAAACTTAATTCATTCAATTCTTCGGTTCTGTTTCTCGTAAATTGATGTCTGTATTGAATGGCAATTCAATGCAAACATCTGTGATTTGGGTCGTAATCACTCAAATTTCCCGTTTTCTAATTTTCCACATTTTTAACCTCCAAATTATTTATATCTACAGTATTATTGTTATCAACTATTTTCTATTTATCAGACGTTTAATAATTTAGTTGTTTATATATTCTCTCGCAATATAATAGTACACGTTATACTTTTAAATATGGAAGTATCGGGCAATTTTTGATGGGAAGTAAGTTCTATCATAATCACAATTATGGTTAATCATCAGGTTCTTTACCTATAATTTTTTCAAACAACATATTAATATGTTATTAGAAAACCTTGAAATTTTTTACAATCACGTTAGATGTAAAGTACAGACTTATAATAACCGCTCATTACTGTTCCTCGTTTTAAAAAAGTTGTTAAAAGTTTATAATTAACTGTTTATTGTAAAAAATCATTTAAATTATCTCATATTAGAAATTAATATTTTATGATTTAATTGCTACTAATATGTTGTTCAAAACAATTTTCTTTAATACTGTATAATTCAATTCATACAATAGTATAAAACATTGAAAGATCTTTGATTTATGCAAATAAATACTAATAATTAAATTGTAAGAAAAACATATTAAAACACATTACGTATAAAAGTATTTACAATTCATTATTTAATTAATAAAAATTGTAATAAAAGGCTGACTTTTAAGGCAAACAGAGTGACTATTTCTGCATTATGTGCGAAAACGTGGATCCGTTGGATCTATATTGCTGTTGATTGCAAGTTGGTGTCGACCACGAGTCAAATAAATGGCTATTTGTGGGATGTGTTGGAGCGGGCAATCCATTCCTGTATATTTACATCGATATAACAATGATTACAATCAGAAACAGACAATTGATATGGCATTTGATTGATATGGAAATACGTGAGGGAATGCCTACCAGTCATCCAAATCACAATCTCTGAATCCTTTAGCGAAAGGGTTTGACGCTATTTTCAGTTGAGTTATCTGTTTGTAATTAAATAAGGAAAGGGTTAACTCATTACTCCTTATGTCTCTTAACTTCTTAAACAGTTTTAAACGCTATTTGTTTTAAACAAAAATATTTCTATATTTTAAATGTTTGTCTTTCTGATGCCATTCTTTCAGTTGAAATGCCATTCTTTCCAAATGACAAACATTTCATTTATGCTTTTGTTTTAATTGTCTTTTAAAGTTTCAAATAAAAAAAACATAGTTTTAAAATAATAAATGTAAAATGAAATAAATACAAACCCTATGGTTTTGATAGGCAGTAACTGCTGTGAACTTTGTCTCCGCGAATATAAAAGTCTTAAAATTTTCCGTTTGATTCATGTCTTCGTCTTTGGGGACGACATACAGCACATGGAATCGGGGCTGATATCTATGCATTGAGTTTAGGATTATCTGTTGGGAGTGAGAATTGGACACAAAAATAGTGATAAATCATATTTTGTTGGCGATGAGTGTGACATACGTGTCCGTTGTCGTCCAATTGATTGTTTGTGAGCTTCACTTTGTCAAAAGACACCACTTGTTTCATCCAATGTCCCCCCTTTGCGGGTGAGTCCGGGTGCACGTGTATGCGGGGCGGTGTACTCGGGTCACCCTTTCCGGCCACAACCCAACTCGAACTGAAATGATTGATTACATTATAATTATTGGCTTTAAATTTAGCCATTCATTTAGTTGAGCCTAATTTTGCTCGTATCGGAGGTTAGAGATCACTACACATGACTTGTGAGACAATTGATAGTATTGAATAGTTTGAAGCGTTAAAACAAACAAATATCAGCCGTTTGGACGTTGAGAACACATTTTAGACAATGTATGGTCTCTTTGGCACAAACACTAAATCCAATTTCATTGTATAACTTAAATTTTTTAGACAAATATTTTTATCTAAATTGTATTAATATTTAAATTTAAATAATAAACAAACCTATGAAAGGCATATCTGTAACGTTTGTCATCGACGGGCATGAAGTCCATCATTAGTATGTAATCAGAAGACGGATCCATTCCTCTCAACTTGATTTGAAATGTAGGAAATGCTCGCCTGATGTCAATTAAATGTATAAAACCTTATTATATATTGAGTTAATGAAACTTATGTTGAAGATTTAAGCAATTACATTATAAGAAGGTAATTTGTTATTAATAACTTATTATATAAGTTAGAATTAGTTAATACTTTATAAATCAATATATAACCAAATTTTATATAATTTACTGTTAATACTAACAATATATTAATGTGTTATTATTAATAAAACATATTTTGAGTTCATATCTAATTTAAGAATATTCTTTATATAATTTAAATAATAATAATTGTTTTTTACAAAACATGATTATAATATTGATAAGTTTTAAAATATTAATAATATTTAATTTAAATATAACAAACGATTTAATGGTTATACAGTAGTGTATTTTTAAATAGTATTGTAGCTTTAAATTTTAAGTATATTTTTATTTATGAAATTTTTATTTAGTTGTAAAAAACGATTATTATTCAAAAATTACAGAAATGTAAGAAATATAAGAGAAGAAAGATTTTCTCAAAATTGGTCTTTAATTAGATTAAAGAGAAATTTCTTGCAACACATTATTCTCTATATCATTAGGTATTGTGTGAAGCAATTTTTATTTGTTGATTGTTGGACTAACTTAATTACAATTCCCCATATATTTCGCTTAATGTCTTTCAACAAATTAATGAGTTTTCGGTTAATTTAATTATTGATTAGTGTCTTAGAAAACATTGTATTTTCCAATAAAATAATCACACAAAGAAAAACTTATTTTTTCGAAATAACGGTAAAGTTTCTTATATTTGTTTGTAAACCATTCATAGCAGTCGACGACAATTTTGTAATTTTTACTTTCATTGACAATATGTTCTACAAATAAGTTTTTATGAAATTGATATATTTAAACATATTTAATATCCAAAACTTAAAGTTTGAAGCTCTCTCTCTCTCTCTCTCTCTCTCTCTCTCTCTCCCCTCACAAGTCAGTACAACTCTTTTAGCATATAAGTGAAAACTTAATGTTTCGCTTGGGCTCCAAGTCTTATGAAATAAAACATTAATCAAAACGGTTTAATTGAATCTAATTAATCATTTAATGTATTTATGTACACATTCTTTAGATAAGTAAACAATAATCTGGATATAAGTGTAGAGAGAGTTTTGTGTCACTTATAGCTTGTATGCGATAAACAATTTTTTCCATTCATTACTCCAAATAACAAGAATTTGCTTTTATTTAATAAATTATTTTGAAAAATCATTCATCGATTTAAATAATTACGAAATTCGTGTCCTATTAATCAAATTCATTACAAATATTCCCATTGAGTATAAGTTAATAAGCATTTTTAACCACAATTCAGATAATATTTATATTATAAACAATGTGGTTTTTAGGATTGTTCGGCCCCTCCTCTACTCCTGCCCCTCACTCTATGGGATTTAACATGGAATTCCAACTTAAGTCTATGGCTATACTTTAACATGGGTAATGCTAAGTTAATAGATTATGTTAAGTCTATGGCATTGCTAATCTTATGAGCAATGTTAAGTCTATGGAACTCATATTAAATCTATGGACAAAGCTAATTTTTGAGTAATACCAGAATTGTGATTAACGTATAGCATCGCTGTGTGCCCTTATTTGTATTATTCAAACAAATTTTAAGTCAAATATATTAAATATTTTCAAAAATTAATTTATTAAAAATCTAATATTCAGGAAATATAGAAATCAATATTTATCAGAGAGTAAATTATATAATACATATTGTAATCGATGTTTAAATTCAATACTTATTGGTTGTAAAAACTCCAAACAGTGTTTGAATTTAAAAATAAGTTTAAAATAATTGCTTTAAAAGAAAAGAGCTTTTTTTCTATAGAGACAAGAATTGGATATTAAATCACGAAAATGAGATCATTTAAGCAAAAGAGATATCATATGGGAATGTGTTTTGTGCTTATGTTGTATTTCTTTATATTAATGTCTCAATTTATTAATCAATTTATCTTTTTATTCCCAAAACAAACAACATATGTGTATAACTTATGAATATTCACAAAACAAACATACATTTTAAGCAAAATCCTGGACATAAAAGGAATTGCTTTGATATGCTTTTCAATACACAAGTTATACAGTATAAGTTATATAAGTCTCCCTGTGGCAAAAATTTATTAATTTAGTTTATTTAAATATTTAAGCTTTAAATAGTTTCTAAACAATCAAACAATTGGCGAATTTATATATTCAAACAATTTAATCAAATAAATAAATAAGTTTATTTGACTTATTACGTTAACAAAAGTTTACATTTCCAACACAATGGTGCCTAAGCTGCTTGTGTAGAATTGTAGCAAGGTTTAATTTGTATAAATACTATTCTCACAATACTATCCTATTGTTAGTGAATGTCTGTACACATTGTCTAAAATATGGTTTATATTAATGTTAAATAATACCCAAATCGTTGTTTTGTTTGAGAATCCAATACTGTATTTATGCTTCAGATCTAATAGTTTTTAAGAGTTATGTCTATTAAAGTGTGCGAAAGAGTGATTCGTATGACTTGTAAGATAAGTAAAAATTCAAAAATTATTTATCTATCTTAATGTTTTAATTAAATTTAAAAAAATAATTTTAATGTTGTGTATGACAATTGGCTTTTCTACTCCAAGTCTCTAATAGAGACTTCGTTGCCGACCAATAGTCTAAAATATGGTTTATATTAATGTTAAATAATACCTATAGACAGCAAAAAAATTATTTATGATTCATTATTACAAATATTAAAGTTGTGTTCAAAGCAATGAATCAAACATTACTTTATCTAAAGTTGTGTTTTTCTGTGAAGAAAGCTCCAAAACGCTTTTTTTGCTGTCTATAATAATACCCAAATCGTTGTTTTGTTTGAGAATCCAATACTGTATTTATGCTTCAGATCTAATAGTTTTTAAGAGTTATGTCTATTAAAGTGTGCGAAAGAGTGATTCGTATGACTTGTAAGATAAGTAAGTCTTTGTCCACAAAAGTTATTAATGTTTTGAGTGTATTCTTGTGGGACAAGCCTTATATGTGCAAACCGTTAGCCAATTGTTTGTCCAATTAATCTCATCGGGGAATAAGTGATGGCGAAGATTGAGCCGTAAATATACACTAAACTCCCACTCAATCATACATGTATACATTATATTCATTTACTTTACTTTATTTCCGTCGTTAGACTTTGATGTAAAACAGATAACATATTAGAGATTCACTCAAACTCTGCACCACTTCTTCGGCCGTATGTGAACCACGGCTTCAATCCATGTCTCCATTCAAATGCAAATAAATTTAAAGCTTTGACAACAAAAACAATCTCTACGTAACCAACCATTACTCCAACTAAACAATTATACACTCAATACTGTTTTAACATTAATTTACATGTGATGTGATTTCACACATTGCCTACTCTTCCCGTCTCATCAATTTAATTCCCGTCTCTCTCTCTCTCTCTCTCTCTCTCTCTCTCTCT